CTTCTCCTTCCATCCTCCTCCCATTCTTCTCCTTCCATCCTCCTCCCATTCTTCTCCTTCCATTCTCCTCTCCTCCTCGATGTCCTCCCCTCCTCCTCCCATCCTCTCCTCCTCCTCCTCCTCCCATCCTCTCCTCCCCCTCTCTTCCTCCTCCTCCTCCCGTCCTCTCCTCCTCCTCCTCCTCTCCTCTGCACCATTAGAGAGGTTCTCAGTGATTACAGTGAATATTCTTCTGGTGTCATTGATAAGTCACAAATGTGGCTGCTGTGTTTCTGAGTCCTACTATCATGCCTCTAGTGTGAGGAGCATGGAGTGTGTGTTTTCTTTATTAGCAGATGTTCCTGGTTTGGAAACTCAACCTTGTTGTGTCACTCCATACACACTGATGTTCAGCAGCATAGTTTACAAAGCAGAAACATGGAGGAACACAAGAGGAGGCCTGTCCATTACAGTATTCTTAAATCTATGGAAGATCATCAGTTTCATCAGATTTTGAATTTGAAATGTAGTTGAAATTCTCACTTACTTTTTTCAATTCTAAAAAAAAAATATACATGTTTGAATTATTATTTTTTATTCTGAGTGGCAATTGATGAAATTTTAAGTATACTTTTTCAAAATGTTTAAAATGCAATATATTAAAAAATCAAATTCAACAGCCATTTTTTTTTCATTGCAAATTATACACTTATAATTTGCAATGAAAAAAAAAAATGGTAGGAAAGATCCAAGATGCCAAGGCCAAAGCAATCGATTCAAATTGATCTGATCTAATTTAGTAACAAGGAGGAAATGGTGCAGTGAACCAGTCTGATTGGTCAAAATTAGCCCCCTCAGTCACACAGTTTTAATTATACTTAAAATTTCAGCAACTAAAATTCAGAATAAAATTAAATCAAGCATCTTTTTAAATTTAATTTAAAAAAATTAAATTCAAAGTGAGAAATTCAGCAGTACTTCAAAATTCAAAAATTCAAATTCAAAATCTAATGGAACAAATTATTTCTGGTTCCTGAATGAAAACAAAATCACTGTATTTGTCCCTGAGGGACAGTACAAACACATAGAGCGAGCAAACAAAAGTCTCAGCCGAGTCATCAGATCCACTGTGAGTAGCAGCCCTCAGGACAAAAGGGTCCCTCCTCTGTTTCCTCTATGTCCTGCAGCATCACAGCCGCCTCCAGGGGGAGCTAGATGAACTCAGGAGACACAGCAGGAAGCCTCTCTTGAGTTTCTCTCTCTCTGCTCTGTTGTTTTTTCGGTGATGAGACGGGATATTCCATCTGGATCATCTTATGCCATATTTGGTGTAGAAAGCATGTAGCATTTTAGAGCTAGCTGATTAGCATAGGGTGCAGGGTCGCCATGGATACAGAAAATACAAACTGCCCAAATCACATAATCCAATAGTCCTTAATGTCTGTCCTTTGAATTGCACAAGATGCACTTCTTAGTTGGTCAGAATCCAAAAATATTGAGTAAATTTTTTTCTTAATTAAACCTGTAAACACTGCCGGTTGGCCACAGGAGCATCCACCACGACCACCACGACCACCACGACCACCACGACCACCACGACCACCACGATCACCACGACCACCACGACCACCACGACCACCACGATCACCACGACCACCACGATCACCACGATCACCACGACCACCACGACCACCACGACCACCACGATCACCACGATCACCACGACCACCACGACCACCATGATCCCCACGACCACCACGATCCCCACGACCACCACGACCACCACGACCACCACGATCACCACGACCACCACGACCACCACGACCACCACAATCCCCACGACCACAACGACCACCACGACCACCACGACCACCACGACCAAGCCAACATAAAGAGCTGAGGAGAGTGCACAGCTCTTATTAAACACTAGAAAATGGAGCTGTAAACACATGAGCAGTAAGAGGTTGGCCTCTTTTCTAGACACACTCTCACCTCTTCAGACAGAAGTGCTGACCTGGTACAGGAGCATGGCTGACGTGGGGTTTTGGACTGAGTCTTGTACAAGAGGCGTGGGTTTGTACTGCTGACCATAAGGAAGATTTGAATAGTGCCCAGGAGAGATCGCTAGATTACTCAAACATGCATGGATGACATGTTAATCCTCTTCAGGCATGTTTTTGATGAGGGAACAGCATTATAACATCAGATAAGACCCCCACTTAAAGAACTGCATCAGTCCATGGTTCTCATTGTTATATCAGACAAGCATTTAGTAAGGCAAATTAGTTTAACCAACATTTTATAAAGTTAAGAGCTTTTGATCTAAAAACAAATCCTGGTATCTCCCCTCATATCCCAAAACATTTTTACCCCTTACCTTACTTGTGGCTTTTTAAAGGTGGGATCGACCTGACCTCAACAGTAATGGAGAAACTTATCAGTGAACAAGTCATAGATTATTCTGAGCTGTTTAAAGCAGGCATATCGTGCTTGTGTCTGCTATAATTATAATTATAAATTATCCTTTACTGTAAATGTCACAACAATGAACTGTGAAGGTGTCAGCATATCAGATGGATAGCTGAGATGTGGTGTTTTTTTGTTTTTTTTTATTTGTACCGAACCACAGATGCTGCAGAATCCTATGCCTATCACAGATTAACAAATAAATAAAATTGGAGAAGAAATACAGGCGAGTGGGTGCTGGATGCTGGTGGCGGTTCAAACGGGGGTTGATCAGCATTTTGAAAATAAGCAATTAATGATTGCTCAAACATGCACAAATCACTCCAAATAAAACTTCAGATGAGTAAATAGTGAGAGGAAACAACTACGACATGGTTCAAAGCTCTGAAAAGTCCATTTTGCAGAATAGGTCTGCTTTAATATTGTGACAACGTGACATTATTTTCACAGAGGAAAGATTTTGCCACATTGGGGTCCAATCACACCACAGCATGGTTTTACATTTTTGTTAGACCGTGAGTAACAGGAAATACTGATTCTCAGCTTTCTCAACCCCTTTGTGTTTCAAGAGGTGTGCCTCAGGTGTCCATCCTTGGACCAACTCTCTTTTCCATTTTTATAGATGTCCCACTGTTTACTAGCAAAGGAACTACTCATCTGTATGCAGACGTACTCTACCGGCCCAATCCCCAAAAGCGCCTCTCTCAGTCTACATGAGAGCTTTCTCAATACACAGCACAGCATTTTCCCCTGTAATCTTATTGAATGTAATTACAACTAAATATCCCCAAATTCACCACAGCCAAAGGAACTATCGGGAAGTGACAGAAAACAGACATATGCAAATCTGGCTAGTTCATTGTCCTTCCATTATCACATGGCTGTGTTACAGGCACAGATGAAGGCTAAACTGTACAATCTTGGACAGAAAATGTTCATCCTTTGCTACTTTGATTAAATGAGACATAATGATCCTTTCACTGTTTGACCATGGTGACATCATCTATCATCATGCTGCACAGAAAATCTTGAAAAGATGTCTTGTGTGTAATCATTCTGTGATTGGCTTTGCCATACACTTCTCAGGTGCACAGGCTCATGATAGCTCATATATACATATTTCATGCAGAGGAGAGGGTCAGATGAAGCAGAGGATGAAGAGGAGAGGGTCAGATAGAGAGGCATATCTGGCAATGAAAGAAAAATCAACAATCATCACTGAAATAACTTGAAACTGATAAAAGCAATAATAAATAAAAATTTACTGAAAATTGTCCAACAAAAATCAAACATTGTTTTAACCTGTGGTTCAACAGAATTAATAGAAAAAAACTATATAATGAAACTGGTCTGGACAAAAATGATGGTACCTTTAACTTTATATTTTGTTACACAACCTTTTGATGCAAACTCTGCAAACAAATGATTTCTGTAACTGTCAATAACACTTCTGCTTTGATCAACAGGTATTTTAATCCACTTCTCATGAGCAAACTGTTCTAGTTGTCTCAGGTTTGAAGGGTTCCTTCTCCAGACGCATGTTTCAGCTCATTTTACAGATGTACAGTAGAACTGAGATCTGGGCTCACAGAAGAACACTCCAGAACATTCCAATGTTTTGTTCTTAATCATTCTTGTGTGTTTTTAGCTGTGTGTTTTGGGTCAATATCCTGTTGGAAAACCCATGACCTATGACTGAGACCAAGCTTTCTGACATTAGTCAACACTTTTCGTTCCAAAATACCTTGATAGTTTAGAGATTTTGTTGTACTTTGTACAGATTCAAGACACCCTGTACCAGATGCAGCAAAACAGCCCCAGAACAAAACCAAGTCTCCTTCATGTTTCACAGTAGGAAAGTGTTTTTTTTCTTGGTCTGCTTCATTTTTGCGTCTGTGAACATAGAGCTGATGTGTCTTGCCAAAGAGCTTCAGTTTTGTCTCATCTGTCCAAAGGACATTCTCCCAGAAGCTTTGTGACTTGTCAATATGCATAGTGGCAAATTCCAGTCTCACTTGCTTGTCTATCATTTTCTTTCTAGTCTCCTGACACAGTTCTCTTCTTCTCTTTCTCTGGTCCATGTTCAGTGTTGTGTCCATCATGTCTCCAAACAGCACAATGACACATGTCTCCCTTTAAACAGACAGACTGACTCAGGACAAGTTTGAAGAACCTGTGACGCAGATTAGAGACACACTGAAGTTTAACATGTTCCTATTGTCCAAATGTTTACAATCTTTTCTAGGGGAACCATAATTTTTGTCCAGGCCAGTTTCATTAGTTTTTGTTTTTTTTTAAATTATTCTATTGAACAACAATTCAAAAACAGTGTCTGATTTTCATTGGTTATTTGTGAGGAAATTTAAATTTATTATTGCTTTTCTCAGTTTCATTTTAGTGACCATTGTTGTGTGTTTGTGTATGTGTGTGTGTGTGTATATATATATATATATATATATATATATATATATATATATATATATATATATATATATATATATATATATATATATATATATATATATATATATAATCTGACATGTCTCTCGATGTCATCTCTTTCACAGCAATCTTTATTCTCAAAGTACTTCACAGTAGAATATAATACAATAAGTGCTATAGACAGATAATATAGTAACAGTGAGTAAAACAACACACGGCATAAAAAATACAGTCAGTGCAACAGTAGAAAATGGCTCAGTGATAATAGAATAGCATTTACTTAAGAACAGCTTTCATAAAATTGTACTTCTCTGAGTAGTTTTCAGACCCTTTTACTTCTACTACTCCTACTTGAGTAATATATTGTACAGTGTAACAGTACTCTTATTTGAGTAAAAGTTGTGGTTCTTTTTCCCACTGTGAGTAAGTCTACGTATGACAACAGCTTGATGTTGTATGAAATTACAACAGAAAGTGAAATTAGCTTTATGTTTATATGAAATGATTTGTGTTTCTTGTGGCAGTCCTTCAGATATGATTGAGCTTGTCTCATTTTTGTGTTTGTCCTTTGGAAACACCAGATTGGTCAGTACACATCCGAGAAGTCCAACCAGCTCCAAGTGGTCAGAAGAGGTCAGAAGAGGTGAGTAAGGGATCAGAATTTCCACTGATTACTGCTGTGTCTCATGTGCCACTTTTTCCTCTGGACTAAGTGCTTTTTGTGACCTGTAAAAAGAACAGAGTGAGGATGAATACAGAAGTAAAGCAGGCACAGTCCAGGATCCAGCTGTGCCACTGCTCAAGTGTGAATTTATGTGTAAAAGAGAGGATGCAGAGGAGAGGGTCAGAGGAGGAGAGGGTCAAATAATGCAGAAGAAAGAAGCACAAGAGCAGAGGTTGGGGGTCAGATGATGCAGAGGAGCAGAGGAACAAGAGCAGAGGGTCAGATGATGCAGAGGAAAGGGGCAAAAGGAGCAGAGGAGCAGGAGCAAAGGAACACATTAAATGAGAAGGTGGGGTTAAACTGGGTGCTAGACCTGGTACTTGACCTGGGACTTGAATTAAGCTTGGCCCTAGACTAGACTTTGATCTGGACTTTGGAGCTTGATACTAAAGCCTGTTCTAACATGCCTTAGGCCTACCTGCCTTAGCTGGGGCACACACATCCATGCAGCTATCCCTGGACACAAAGTTGTTGCTGCTGCCCCCACAGCCCGAGTAGAGGAACTGCAGGCACGAGCGTGATCTTGCGTCGTAGTAAAAGCGAGGGATGGATGCCGAGCAGGTGCCTTTGTCCAGAGGATCTCGACACAGGACAGGGACATCTGCAGAGACAGGAGACATGTCATGCACTGTGACTGAAGTTAAATAAGGCTCAGATTATCAGTCTTATTCAAAAAGTGTTTTCTTAATTTCTTCTGGAAAAACAAATCCTATGAACAATCAGGAGCACTCTTACACAAAGAAATTCTGCCCTTTATTCTGCACAATATTTTTATACTCATAATTCTACCAACAGAGATAGTATATTAGATCTAACTGCTCTTCTACTGAGTGTCCTGGACACAACAGGAGATGGACTGGAGTTATGTGGAGTTTGTATCTGGATGATGGTGAATTAGGTGCAGAATTCTCTTGTTTGTATCATCCACTTTAAGAAGATGCTATTAAAACATGAATGAGTGAGGCCCAAGGATTTTTGTATTAAAATGCAATGAAATAATATTTAAACCTTGGCCTTTAGTTCAGTTTTAATTGTTCTAATAATGAAGCATATACAGGTATATACAGATGATGACAGAAGTAAAGGCTGTGCCAAAAATCAAAGAATTGATTGAGATCTAAACTTAGGTGGATCTCAGTGATAAGGCGAGCACAGGTCTACAGCTAATGCTGTGGCAGTGAGAGCGCATGATGCTGAAGAGGAGCTGCACTCTCTCCTCACATGTACTGTTTCACAAGTTTTGACTTAAATCTGCACAATCTGACTTTAAGTACAGTGTCGCCTTCACTTTGGAGCTGTATATGTGTGTGTCTGCCCGCTCCGCCTCCCTCTCTCTAATGCTGCTCCTCATCTATCTCCTCTTTCTCTCCTCTTGTGATTCTTTATTCCAACTAAGTATAATCCAATTAAAAAAAAAAAAAAAGTGATCCTGACACCTTGGTCTGTGCACCTTGAAGTCCACCTGCCTATGTTTTCAATAAATGGAATAAGAAGGTTGAAAATTGACAAAAATGGGGGAAAAAATTGACCATATGACCAGCCCTGTCCAGGTGTGACAGCTAATGTGAGGGAGGACTGACCTCTGGTGGGGCTGCAGAGGTCGGAGCAGGAGGTCAGGTGGAGGAAGCGGTTGGCGTTGCCATGGCAGCCTCCGTAGTAGAAGGGCTCACACTGCAGAGAGCTCATGTTGAAGAAGTACCTGGAGAGCAGAGAGCGACAGGGGCCCGGCTCCTGGGGCAGGCGGCACGGTGCAGGGACCCCTGGATTATCACACACAGGTTAGAAGGGGTAAATGCCATTAATCATGACATCATATTTAAGTGTCAAATAGTACAAGTAGTACTCTGAAGGACCAAGGCCATATTACACTATTTTCTGATCAATGTTATAACATATCTTTACTGAAATAAAGATAAGAGGTAGTTAATATCTTGAAAACTATCCCTTCATGACATCAGAAGAGCATTTTGAACTTTGGAGATGTAGGCAGACTAATAATAAATGCCTCGTGTGTATTGTGCATCCGTCTTTTATTACCCACTTAAACTCTGTGGCATGATGTTTAAATCATTCCTTCGTTTAGTTGCTGGATACTGCATTTCATCACTTGTGTATAATTTATAACAGTTTTAAGCTGCTTTGTTTATTCATTTTTATTAATTCTAATCATTTTTAGAATAATCACCTTTATACAGTACTTAATTATATCTTCACTTGCTTTACTCCAGACCACTCACTCATTCAGTCACTCACTCTGTCAAACTGTTCATATAATGGTGCCCTGTTGGAAATTAATTTCCTCAACTATATCCATTCTCCCGAGTCTGATTCTTTGATCTGAATTTTTCCGTACCAGTCTAACACTCCATAGTGGGCCTCTTAAATATTGTGCCTCCACTTCAGAACAGTTTCTTGAATGAATGAAATGTATTTTGTTGTTCACATTCAAAAACAAAACATCTTCTATTTGTATTGGTTGCAAAAAGAATTGTTTGATGCCACTGTAATCCCTCCTGACCATCACATGATCACTCAACATCACAACATCACAGCTTCCATGTGATATCAGCAGTGTCCCAGACCCACAATTCACCGCTCCATCACTACACCATTCACTCGTCTTGCTCAGAGGCGGCTCATACGTTTACTCAATTACATTTACTTGAGTAACAGGTTTTCAGAGTACTTTTCTAGCATACTTTTACTCCTACTTGAGTAATATTTTTATTGAAGTAACAGTTGAGTAAAAGTTGTGCTTCCTTTTTCCACAGTGAGGAAGTTTAAAGTGACAAAAGCTTTATGTTGACTGAAATGATTTGAATGTTTGTGTTTCTTGCAGTGCTCCTTCAGATCTGATTTAGTTAAGTCTCATTTTTATCTTGATTTTTTGAATTAATGTTTTATCCTTCCAATCACATTCTCTTCAAATGCACTTCAGCTGTACTTGAGTAGAGTGTTTATTTCTGTTTCATTTAAGTACATTTTTGGACCACTACTCTGTTCTTCTAGTTGAGCAATATTATTCTAATGTAAGATGTCAGTGTAATCCCTCAGTCACAATGATACCATATGGCTGAGGGTATTTTGAAATAATAATACTCCTACCTGAGTAAAATTTCTGGTTGTAGGACTTTTGCTGGGTTTCATTTAGATTAATTCAATAACCTAATATTAGTGCATGGCCGTTCATATAAAGACTGAGACTGTAGTTGTAATAGGCTATAGCAGGTTCCAGGGTCTAGTCACTAATATAAACCATCAGGTTCAGCATGTGTGACTTCATATTTTGGTTGTTTCATGTGTTATCAATAAACTGGGAGTATGACGTCCTCATATTGAACAATCTGAAAAGCAGCAGTAAAACTCACTTGGGATTCGGAAGCAGGTCTTGTGGCACTCCTGGTACGTGCGGAAGTTGTTGGCGTTTCCCTGGCAGCCCCCGTAGTAGAAGTGCTCGCACTTCTGGGTCTGGGTGTTGTAGTAGAAGCGTTGGATGTTCGCTCGGCACGGCCCCTCCTCCGCGGGCAGCAGGCACAAGGCTACGGCTACGCACCCAAAAACAAAAGCGCACTTACACAGAGACACTGCAGGGACAATCAATTCTCCATCGTATGCAACACTACCAGCACTTGCTAAATCTTGGAATATAGTAGACCAGTTCTGCTACACAAAGAACACAGTCGGTTTAATTATTAAGTAGTAGGAAGTAGACTAAGCAAGGACTAAATGAGGAGGACAAAAGCTTAATTTAACAATGCCAATTTAGGTTTACAACAGCACTAAACCAAGAGTGAACCGCTCTGAATAGTGACTAAAAAAACACAACAAAGTTGTAACAGGATATCGGGTTAAGCCTACCTTTGTGGCGCAGAGGCCGCACGCTGCCCAGCGCACACAGGACACTTATGGACACTTGTATCCAGCGCTGCATCCTGACCACTGGCCAGAGCAGTCAATCTCGCAGATTTAAAGGCGAAAGTTTTCGGGAGTTTTCGGAGGCGGGACCGGCTGTGAATCACTGACAGAGTCTGGTGTACGCATATTACGGTACGGCGCATGACATCACCGCGCTATGCTCCAGTATGTGCGTGAATGCATAAAAGAGTGATAAGGATTAATGAAGAGTGTCCCAGGAGGGTGCAGCCGGGGAGTGGAAGTGTGACTCGGGGCTGCATCATCTCATCCTGGGACTATCCTCAGGGTCAAGGCGAGGAAGCATCACCACAGCCACAGCTACAGTCACGGGTCTGTGCTCTGCGGTCTGTGCTCCCACTTTACTCACATGGATCAGTCAATAGATCAATTGTGATCATGTCACGTCACAAGTTGAAAGTTAAGATTAGAGTTGGTGTGATGGTGTCATTGGTGTATCGTGTAATTTCCTGGTTGAGCAGCCAAGATGTTGACCGTGGTTTAGGATTAAACATGGTTCCTCTCTGTGGATCCACACACGGATTTTTATGAATACAATTCCTAAAAAAAACCTGCGGAATTAGTGCATCACATTTCAGAACACAAACTATGAATATCAGGCTGGTGTAAGCATTTGATTTAGGCTACTCAATTATATCCTTGCACAGCAAGATGAATTCTCATATTAGTGACTCACAAGAATACATCTAGCTCCTGTTTCAATAGAGCCCGGCCGCTGTCGTTGTGTCCTTAGGCAAGGCACTTTGTATAAAAGTAGAGCCAAAGGTGAAGCCTAAAGAATCAAAACAAGCATGGCGATGTCAACAGACATACTTCAGCCTATTTTAGTGACTTTACGGACTTGTTTGTGACCAGTGTGTGGTAGGTAAGCGCTTTGTGCATCGCGCCCAAAGCCTCCATGACAACAGAGCGGTTATCTGCTTTTGGCCACACACTGAGCAGCTCTTGAAGATGTTAGCTCAGGAGCTGGCTAAAGAGTTAGCTATGGACATTTGAGTTGCTGCAGATTTTTTACACCATACGAGGCAGCAAATGTGGCAGAAGACCTTCCAGAAGAAACACTTTGGGGGAATGGACCATTTCATCACCAAAGAAATGCCAGAGCGGGGTAAGAATGACGCCTTTCCTGTTGTGTTCAGCTGGCGCCCCCTAGAGGCTGCTGTGATGCTGCAGGATACAGAGGAGGGACACTTTTGGCTCTTCCACAGGATCTGCTGACCTCATGCATCATGATTGTGACTTCTTATGCAACGTTAATATGAAAAATGTCCATTTTAATCCTCTGAACAGTGAAAATGTCAAATGTGGGTCATACACGAGTTTCCTTCCTCTAAATAAGTAACAAAACTGTAGCTGTACCAAAATATACCAAAAAATACTCTTGGCGATATATCAATACAGCAGCCCACAATACTGATATTGTATCATCACATGAACCCTTTAAACATAGTTACACCTGTGCTCCTTCATGACAAAAATGTATATCAAAAAAGAATACCACAATATTTTTATGCAGTACAGATTTTTGTCCGACTTTTTGATATCATTGTCTTCATTTACTTCTGCCCTAATCATACATATCAAATATTATATAATATTTTGACATTTTAACCCTTTAAATGCCATTTTTGACAGCAAAAGTCTCAAATTATGTCCATGAAAAATATGAAAACAAAAAAAAATTCTTTATCTTCCAACTAATTTTTATGTCCTAAAATAGTGCCAACACTTTTTTTTAGTTTTTGCACAAAATGCTGTTTTCCCCTAAAGCCCCATTATAACCACACATTTTTAGTTACACTGACATAACACCACTAAATCATAAACTGTGGATTTTACAGGTTTCTCCTATTAAGAAAAGGTAAAATTTGTGATTTTTAGAATTCAAACCCAACTCACCCCATCACACCGTGTGCTGGCCTGTATGCAAACACACCTATAGATTTCCTATGCTTTCCTATGGAGTTCTATGGGATATACAGTGATTGTGTACATGGGGGTTCTGTTGGCATATACTTGCCTGGGGTGGGTTGTGGGTGTGTGTATGTTCACATACATGGGTCTGTATGGGGTTGTGGAGGGGTGTCACATTTGCATTGTGTAAAAATGACTGAAAATGTAAATATTATGATTATGCTTGAAATGGTGGACCTAAATATCATAGAAAAACATCTCCAAACCCCCCAAAAAACAGTCAGATTTAAAACTTTGAACACATTTGAACACAATGACAGGAGAAAAACAAATATCAAGTGAACTAAAATTGCAGTTACTCTGATTTAAAAAAAAACAAAACAAAACAAAACATTTTCAGTGTTTATGTATAGAGGCGTAAACAAAGACAGATACATGTACCTGAAAATGCACACACACACACACACACACACAGGCACACACCAACTCACACACACTCCCAAACAAACACATTCAGTGCACTCTGGGACTCCTCTAGAACACATCCGTATCATTTTAACCTTCTCTGGCCTTCAGTGTGGACTAATATGTACAGATGTCTTTCTATTGATATAACCTTGTAATGAAAGATACACAGTAAAAAGCAAAATATAAAAAAATTCAAAGACACTAAAACAAAACAAATTTGAAGAGTTTTCAACACCAAAAAAAGAAAAATAAATCATAAAGTAAAAATACACTGGCAAAAATATGCCAGTGAAAAATTTTGAATGGAAGTCAATGGGACAAAAATGTACCTAAGGACCACAGGTGTAACTATTTTGATTATAGACCAGGTGTGATCTAGAAAAAAAACACAGAGATTAAAAATACACCACAAAAATACACAACCTGGCCAATTTTGGTGCCATTTGGTGCAATATAGCTTATATAGTTATGTAGTTATATAGTTATGCAAAAAACAAAAGTCGAGAAGTACAAAAATTGACCTAAGTGTGTAGGGGGGTTACCGTATTTTCCGCACTATAGGGCTCATATAATCCAGAGCGCCCTATAGTGCAGAAATACTGTAAACAATATGCTATATCAATATTTCAATATTTTTCCCAACCCTATTTGTGGACAGGGAAGATGTCTTTGTTTCTAGTTGTTCAGCTGTTGCAGCCCTTCCACCATCAACTTAGAGAATTCATTTGAACATATACATACATATACATACAAATACATATGTTTTCAGAGAATCATCTGAAGTAAATACGTAGATCTCAGTTTGCAGGTACACATATCATTCTGGAGTAAGCCAAACCCATTAAACTCAAGTGAGTATTTGTAATCAGGGTCAAAAGTACCGATTCTGTGCTGTTGGATAACTGAGAAACAGGCAGGATGTCACTAACATGCTAAAAATAAACACCTGGGCCATGTTACTATAAATACACTTGAATATGATTCACTGCTATTGTTTTTGCAGTTCTGTATTTTACAGCCAAATCTGACTCCTATTGGTCGACTGCTGTTTTTAGAGCAGGATGCCCTTCCTGTCTCCACTTGTCTGAGTGAAGTGGGCAGCTGGATGTTATGAGCAAAAATCAGAGGCCAGGGACCAGGCGTGTCCGGACATTCTTACTGGTAGCACGCATGCCTGTCCGCAGACCTGACATGTAACTTGGCTTACCATAGAGATAGATGTTTAATGTCAGTGTGTGGACCATTCAAGGCAAAGCCAGAACATGCCAATGGAGACGAGCAGGCAGCAGACCTTGCACCAGAACAGTGAATTAGTAAGTAAATCAAACTATCCACATCAGTTTATAAAATAAATGCATATGTACATGGCAGTGGGTGGAGAATGTGATTCGCAGTTTGTCTGATTTATAATTTGATACAGATTTACCAGATTTTGTGTAATGTTGAAATTAAATTACATACATTTAAGTAATGCACAAATTCTGGCCAATGACTCATTTTTCAAAGGATAGACACAGAAATTAGACAAACTAAACACAAATTTTCTAATCATTTTAAAAAGCATCATCAACATAAAGCTTTTGTCACTTATACATTTCCTCACAGAGGGAAAACTAACCAGAACCTTTCCTCAAGTAAGAGTACTGTCACTTCAATAAAAATATTGCTCAAGTAGGAGTGGAAGTATGTTGCTAGAAAAGTACTCTGAAAAGTACAATTTCTTAAAAAAGTTACTCAAGTAAATGTAACCCAGTACTACCCACCCCTGGTACTCTAACTGCAGGTTAAGAGAGAGATACTTCATTGATCCTGGGGGAAATTTTCAAGTTTTGCTGCAGCAATATTCCCACTGCATTTCTCAGTGGAATTTGTGTCAGTCAGGTCAGGTCAGGTCAGTCAGGTCTCAGTGCAGTTTAACAGGAGGACTAGAGACTGGACCATTTGGGAGGGTCAGCAGATCATGTGGAAAAGGCAAAGGTGTCCCTCCTCTGTGTTCTGCAGCATCACAGCAGCCTCCAGGGTGCACCAGGTGAACACAACAGGAAAGGCCTCGTTCTTCCCGCTCTGGTGTTTCAGTTCCCTCAAAGTATTTCTTCTGGAAGATCTTCTGCCACATTTGCTGCCACAAAAGCCTGTAGCATCTCAAATGTTTTCATCTCAAAAGAGCTCATTTCACAAAATCCAACAGTTCTTTACTTACTACTACTACTTACTTTGACCTACACATGCTGCACTTCTTAGTTGATTAAAATCCCATAATATGATGTTAAAAACAGAGCTCAAATAAGAAAATGTTTAAAAAACTGCTCACTGTGAGCCGGGGAGCTACATAAGCAGACAACTACTCCACTGTTGTTATTTACTCAGGTAAATGTAAGCGAGTACATTACTTGAGTAAATGTAAGCGAGTATGAGTAAGTGAGTGCTGTTTGCTGATCCAGTAGTTTGACTAATGCTCGTGGCTCTGGTTCACCTTGGCACTTGTGTGTTAAGCTCTTATTATCTTACTTACTGTTTTAGGTAGCACAGTTCTGTGTGCAAGTGCTCGGCTGGAGGTCAGAGTATTTCACAGCTCTCACCACGCACACCCTATCCTCACAACAGTGGGGTTCTCCTCAAAGCAGTGGTGTCCTTTCAAACCAGCACTCATTTCTCTGTTTTGAAAGATGAAAGTTGCTGTGCACAAACATTTGGAGCTTGTTTTAATCAGATTATGGGATTACAAGTGTTTATATAGAGGACAGGACAACGGGGAGGGATCCTTACCACAGACAATACAAGGACATACGCTAGGCCAGCTGCTGTGAGTACCAGCTGCTCTTGTCTTCTACTTTGGCTCTGCTCCTCTGCTCCTCTGCATCTCTGGCTCTGCTCCTCTGCTTCTCTGGCTCTGCTCCCCTGCTCCCCTGGCTCTGCTCCTCTGGGTCTGCTCCTGTCTGCTCCTCTAGCTCTTGTGGATGACTTGTTGGACTTTGGTTTCAGAAAATGCCAGTGATAAACGTGGAGGACCTGACCGATAAAGACAAAGCAGTGATGGAAGTGAACCAGCTGAAGACAGAGGTTAAGCTGGAGAGGTGGAAGGTCAGTGTGGACACATGTAGAGGTTAGAGTGGTTCAGAAATGTTTAAAATTGTCACTTCACATTATTCAGACCTCAGTATTCTCTAAAATGTTGATAAACCAATATGTCCCTGAAGTCCATCCATCCATTTTCTTCCGATTATTGATTATCTAAGCAGGGACTCCCAGACTTCCTTCACCCTGGATACTTCCTCCAGCTCCTTCGCGGGGACCCCAAGGTATACCCAGGCTAGCCGAGGAACGCCTCCCGAGGGAGGAGCCCAGGAGGCATCCGGAACAGATGCTCTCCCCTCATCTGCTCCTCTTGACGTGGAGGAGCAGTGGTTCTACTCCAAGCTCCTCCCGTGCAGCCAAGGTCCTTACCCTATCTCTAAGTGATAGGCCCAGCCACAATGAGGAAACTCATTTCGTACACTTGTATCCACGATCTTGTCCTTTCGGTCATTATCCAAAGCTCAGCCCGTACCCCATACTCCCAGAGAGCCCCCCACAGGACACCAAGAGGGACATAGGTCTTCTCCAGATCAACAAAGCACATGTGGACTGGTTGGGCAAACACCCATGAACCCTCAAGCACCCTATGGAGAGTATAGACCTGGTCCAGTCTTCCACAGCCAGGACAAAAACCACACCGCTCCTCCTGGATGCGAGGATTGACTATCAGTCCCTGGAATAGACCTTACTGGGGACGCTGAGGAGTGTGATTCCCCTGTAAATGGAACACACCCTCCTTCTTATACAGAGGGACAACCAAGCCGTCTGCCAGTCCAGATACTGTCCCCGACCACCATGTGATGTTGCAGAGATGTGTCAGAGACTTAAGATACTCAGGACAGATCTTTTCCACCCCCAGAGCCATCGAGGAGCTTTAACCAGATCAGTGACTTCAGCCAGGGTGATGGATGAGTCCGCCTCCAAGTTCCAATCCTCCTTGGAAGATGTGACAGTGGGATTGAGGAGATCCTCAAAATATTCATTCCACTGTCCAACAACATCCCCAGTTGAGGTCAACAGCTCTCCCCCCGCACTGTAAACAGTGTTGGTGAAGCACTGCTACCCCCTCTTGAGGCGTCAGATGGTTTGCCAGAATTTCTTTGAGGCTGACCGATAGTCCTCCTCCAGGAGTCCCATGAGCCAACAAGGCCCAATAGGACTCCTTCAGCCTGACAGGATCCCTTATTTCTGGTGCTCTTCACAGGGTTCAGGGATTGCCGCCGCAAATACTTTACGACCATAGGTACAAGCGGGTACATTGACAAGAAAGGTCAAGAACAAAGCCCACTTGGACTCCATTTCCTCAACCTACCTCGTGATATGGGAGAAACTCTCCCGGAGGTGTGAGTTGAAGGTCATCCTGACAGAGGGCTTCCCAAATGACCCTCATAATGTGCTTGGGTCTACCAGGTCTTTCTGGCTTCCTCCTCTGTCAGCACCACCAGGTGGTGCTCTACAACTCTGTTCCTCTCTTCACCCGAGTGTCCAAAACAAGCAGCTGGAGGTCAGATGACACGACAACAATCATCAACCTCCAGCCTAGTGTGTCCTGGCGCCACGTGCACCGATGGACACCCTTGTGCTTGAACATGGCTCCTTGTCTTGTCTTTTTTTACACAAGCAAAAAGCAGTAACTGTGGAACCTGTGTGTTAAATGAGCTACCAACAAAGGGATACCTGTACAATGAACGTCCTAACCCTCTTTATTGTGAGGTGCTGTAGAAGCACTATAGTAATCTGCCAATCTACACCATCAGCCCCTCCCACCACCAACATTCACACAAACACACCACATTCATAATAGCCAATGTAGGTGAAATGCCTATGGAAGCAACAACTGTTTTCGCTACTGCCGCCTCACTGTGTCACCTGATGTTCCTAACAGCCTCCCATCCAAGAACTGACCAGGCCCAGCCTTGCTTAGCTTCTGAGATCTAACGAGATCAGGCTTTGACAAGGAGCTTTGGCCACTGCCTAACCCTGTGTGCTGTGAGACTGTCTGACCCTCTGTGCTGTGAGACTCTCTGACCCTCTGTGCTGTGAGGCTCTCTCACCCTCTGTGATGTGAGGCTCTCTCACCCTCTGTGATGTGAGGCTCTCTGACCCTCTGTGATGTGAGGCTCTCTGACCCTCTGTGCTGTGAGGCTCTCTGACCCTCTGTGCTGTGAGGCTCTCTCACCCTCTGTGATGTGAGGCTCTCTGACCCTCTGTGATGTGAGGCTCTCTCACCCTCTGTGATGTGAGGCTCTCTGACCCTCTGTGATGTGAGGCTCTCTGACCCTCTGTGCTGTGAGGCTCTCTGACCCTCTGTGCTGTGAGGCTCTCTCACCCTCTGTGATGTGAGGCTCTCTGACCCTCTGTGATGTGAGGCTCTCTCACCCTCTGTGATGTGAGGCTCTCTGACCCTCTGTGCTGTGAGGCTCTCTCACCCTCTGTGTTGTGAGACTCTCTGACCCTCTGTGACGTGAGGCTCTCTGACCCTCTGCTCTGTCTCAGACATCTAAATGCTGTGAGGAGATGCGAGACTACATCCAGGCCCTGGTTGACGAGGACACGCTCGTGAAGGGGATCTCAGAGGAGAAGAACCCGTTCAAGGAGAAGGGAGGCTGCATCATCTGCTGAAGACTTTTTATCATTGTGTACTAAATGTCATCATTGTACATGTGTGTACTGTATGTCAACAATTATAAACATCTGAAATGAATGAATTCATTATTAAATTCATTACATTTGAAAGTCTCTGTATCTGATTTGTTAATTAAAGTTAGTTAGTAAAACATGAAAAACAGAACTAATTCATTTTAAACAGTTTGCAGTGGTCCAAAGTTATTCCTCTCTTACCTTATGCATTCTGAGCATCCTAATTATTCATCATAACTCTCAGAGAGCAGTGTGGAGTTTTACCATAACAGTACTGCTAACAACAACAAGAATGCTAACACACACTTCCTGATTTTCAGACAATTAAACATTTTATAATGCAAATAGGCAGCATACAGCTTAGAGCCGCTTATACAAATCTGTGCTAGGTAAGGACACGTTTAGCTAAAAAACTGGCACAGGACCTTTAAAGAGGGTTTATTATGCAAAATGTACTTTGGGTTATAATGCTGTTCCGTCATCAAAAACATGTCTGAAGAGGTTTTAGATTTCATGCGGAATTGAGTAATATAGTGATCTCTTCCAGGCCCTCTATGAACCCTCCTTATGGTTAGTACAAAGCTCCACCCACAAACCTATTTCACCAGTGCTCTCCTGCAGTGATGTGTAGAAGTGGGATGCATTAGTGGCAGTGTTGGGGAGTAACAGATTACATGTACTGGAGTTACGTAATCAGAGTACAAATTATGAGTAACTGTATTCAGTTACAGTTACTGTTTCAGTGAGTGGTAATTGGATTACAGTTACTTTGTTGAAATAAATGGATTACACTGTGGTATTTTCCTGTTTTTACATTATTTTTATTTTTTAAATTTTTTCGGTAATTCCAGGTCTAAACCAGGTCTAAACCAGGACTAAAACCAGGTCTAAACTAGATCTAAACCAGGTCTAAACCAGGTCTAAACTAGGACTAAACCAGGACTAAAACCAGGTCTAAACTAGATCTAAACCAGGACTATACCAGGTCTAACTAGCTCTACACTAGATCTAAACCAGGTCTAAACTAGATCTAAACCAGGACTAAAACCAGATCTAAACTAGATCTAAACCAGGTCTAAACTAGGACTAAACCAGGACTAAAACCAGGTCTAAACTAGATCTAAACCAGGACTAAACCAGGTCTAAACCAGGACTAAAACCAGGTCTAAACTAGATCTAAACCAGGACTAAACCAGGTCTAGCTAGATCTACACTAGATCTAAACCAGGTCTAAACTAGATCTAAACCAGGACTAAAACCAGATCTAAACTAGATCTAAACCAGGTCTAAACCAGGTCTAAACCAGGTCTAAACTAGGACTAAACCAGGACTAAAACCAGGTCTAAACTAGATCTAAACCAGGACTAAACCAGGTCTAACTAGCTCTACACTAGATCTAAACCAGGTCTAAACTAGATTTAAACCAGGACTAAAACCAGATCTAAACTAGATCTAAACCAGGACTAAACCAGGTCTAAACCAGGACTAAACCAGGACTAAAACCAGGTCTAAACTAGATCTAAACCAGGACTAAACCAGGACTAAAACAGGATTTAACAGGATTTAACAGGACTAAATCATGCTGCGCGGACATGTCTCCTCCTCTTCTATCAATAATATTTTTAATACGGTTAAGTATCCTTGTTTTTGCTTCTCTACAGCAAATCAAGTAATCCAAAGTATTCAGATTACGTTACTCACTTTAAGTAATTTAATGGATTACATTATAAACTACATTTTGGGGTATGTAATCTGTAATCTGTGGGGGATTACATTTTAAAAGTCACCTTCCCAACACTGATTAGTGGGATGCACGCTGATTGTGTTGTGATAGTGCTCTGAAGGGGGAGTAACTTAACACATGGAACAAAAAAGGGAGGGGTGCCTCAGAGCATTAAAAATGTAATTGAAACTTACAAAACATGGAATATGTTGTTGTGGATATATAATATATATATATTATAATATAATATATAATTTTCAAAACAATAAAAGATAACATGCTCATCTAAATATGTTAAGTGTACAGTTAATACCCCATGTAAAATAGCCCCTCTTTAAAGAGTTGGAGTGAAAGTGTATTGTATCTGCATTTCTATCAGTGACTTTTGAAATGACAGGCCACCACAATGAGCTAATTGTGTGTATGCTCTCCTCATAAGCGTGACAATGGAGATCGCATTATGGAGATATGATGAAGTGAAGATGAGATATTAATATGTCCTGGTGGTGTACAGTCTTCATGCCTCTCCTCCTCCTCCTTTTTCTCCTCCTCCCCTTCTCTTCCTTCTTCTTCTCCTCCTCCCCCTTCCCTTCCTCCCCCTTTTTGCCTCCTCATCATCATCCTCTCGCTCTTCTCCTCCTCTCCTCCTCTTCTCCTCCTCCTCCTCTCTGTGACAGCTCATCTGCATAAGTGTGTTTGCAAATCATGTAGTCCTCATAAAGTCTGTTTTCTCTTCCACATCAGCTCACTTTATGGAGAACAAACCGTGCACTCTGCTGAGCCTTATTTACCTTTAACTTTACGCCGCCATGCCCTGTAAATAGCCAAGTATTTTATTTAATAACATTAATACAACTGTGCAATTTCATAAACCTGGCATTGCCTTGCATTAGAATTTTGTGGCTCCTCTCTCTGTACCTGATGCTGTGAGCCTCATCAGTTTGGTCCACATGTTTGGATTAACCCGCGCTATGTGATCCTGGTGGGGGGGTTGCTATTTTGTCCATCAAAAAATCCTATTCACAATATATTGAGTGGAGCTGAATGTAATGGGTGACGTCACATTCGCTTAGTCCGCTTTTTTATACAGGACACACCTGGGCATTGTACAGGCCACGGGCCACATACAGCCTTTTGTTTGACTCTGACCAGCCCCTTTAAGCTCATTTGGAATTACAAATAAACACATTTTATAATTTTACCTCATGCATGGACTAAAGCTTCATTGTTTTTATTTTAGAGGTGTTTTTTGTTGTTTTTTTAATGTCATCTTTTGCTCGGCAGCCTCACTTTTTCATTGCTTATAGAACATAAACACTTCCTAGTCTCACCAGCTCATCAAAACAATATTTACTGCTTTTTTAAAATAAAGAAATACTATTAATATTATGTTAGAACTACGATAATAACTTGGTTTGGAGTTGGTAGGTCATCTACCTTAGAAGCTATTGAAAAAAATCACAGATTTTCAAGATTAAAAATTCCTAAAAATTCCACAAAGGGTTAATTTGGAAAACCAAAAGGTGTGCGTGATACCTGAGGAGTAGGACTACTATAATAACTTGGTTTGGAGTTGGTAGGTCATCTGCCTTAGAAGCTATTGAAAAAAATCACAGATTTTCAAGATTAAAAATTCCTAAAAATTCCATAAAGGGTTAATTTTGAAAATCAAAAGGTGTGCGTGATACCTGAGGAGTAGGACTACTATAATAACTTGGTTTGGAGTTGGTAGGTCATCTGCCTTAGAAGCTATTGAAAAAAATCACAGATTTTCAAGGGAAAAAATTCCTAAAAATTCCATAAAGGGTTAATTTGGAAAACCAAAAGGTGTGCGTGATACCTGAGGAGTAGGACTACTATAATAACTTGGTTTGGAGTTGGTAGGTCATGTACCTTAGAAGCTATTGAAAAAACTCACAGATTTTCAAGATTAAAAATTCCTAAAAATTCCATAAAGGGTTAATTTGGAAAACCAAAAGGTGTGCATGATACCTGAGGAGTAGGACTACTATAATAACTTGGTTTGGAATTGGTAGGTCATCTACCTTAGAAGCTATTGAAAAAAAATCACAGATTTTCAAGATTAAAAATTCCTAAAAATTCCACAAAGGGTTAATTTGGAAAACCAAAAGGTGTGCGTGATACCTGAGGAGTAGGACTACTATAATAACTTGGTTTGGTGTTTTTAGATTAATTGACCTGGAAGATATTGAAAAAATGCATTAACTAATTAACTCTCAAAATACATAAAAATAACAAATGTTTCATAAAACCCTTTTTTATTATTTTTTTTTAAAAATCCCTTTTTTATTTCTTTATATATATATTTTAGCAGACTCCATTCAATGCACTGGTAATTTATTGACGGTCCCTAACCCGCGGACTCAGCGGAGCTTTGGTGTATAGCTCCCCGCACCGTGATCGAGCAAGCGGGGCACAGGCAATGAACATCTCCGCTGTTGATGCGTAACTGAATATCTAACGTCTAACGTAAAACTACCACGGTGTTTTACTAAACGTTTTCTGTTAAGTAGGCCTATCCACGGGCCTATCCCTAACAGAGAATCTGTAAACGCGCATGCGTAGGGTTTGTTGTTGAGGAAATGGCTCTCCACACTCTGCTCCACCGCCTCCGCTCCGGTCTGCTGCCCAGAGCGCGGTTCTTCTACGGGTCCTCCCCGGCCCCGAGACGCCCGCTGTCCGAGCAAGCACCCGGTAAAGATGCACCGTCCACTGGGGTCCCAGAGACTGTGGGGGACCATCTGATCTACACACACGAGCACCTGGCTCTCAAGAAGTCTCTGCGAAAGGTACAGTCACAGTGTGTTTATGTGTTCTCACCAGCCCGTACTCCAGTCTACAGGGAAATACAGTGTCCTACAGTGTCCCACACTATGTCCTACAATGTCCTACAATGTCCTACAATGTCCTACAATGACTTACAATGACTGTAGTGTCCCCGGGTCCCCTGTGTGTCGCGCACTACAGAAGTGGGGGAGAGGTCAGTGCCTCAGCTGACCCACGTGTGCACGTCCGCTGTGCGTGCATAAACAAAGTAGACCCATTTATCACAGATGGCACACACATCTGGAGCACTTTAGTTAAGTTTGGAACAGTAACGACATGTCGAACCCCCATAATAGATGATTGAGTAATGACATTTTGTAACTCAACTCTGTAGCTTAACTCTCACTGCCATGTTATTGCGTTGTAACAGACAAGTAGATCCACTGTATATCACATTAGTTCCATAGTGTGATCCACAGTGTGACCAGCTGTTGGTCTCACATCACAGAGGGTCAGAGAGTCTCACAGCACAGAGGGTCAGAGAGTCTCACAGCACAGAGGGTCAGAGAAAGCCAAATCATCCTCATTCTCCCAGTGTGCAGTCTGTTGTGTGCACTGTTCCAGCTAATAACATCTTCTGTTACTACTATGACTAAAGGCCTATGGAACCACTTCAGAGTCCTGGGGCCCTACTCAGAACATATGTGAGGTGTTCTTTTGTGTACTGTAAAGCATTTTGAAACTAGTGGAGCTAGAAAATTACATTATAAACACAATATTTACTACTGGTCCTTGTTGTCATGATATTTAAATTTCAAACTTAATATCAATACTAAGGAATAAACTTGATAATACTGATTCCAATACGATGATAATATAAAACACCTCTTCTTTAACTAATAGAATGTGCTTTTCCACATTAAATGTTAGTACTTTCTTTTATTTTCCCATGTGTCCTTATATGTGTGTCATTCCTTAGTGGTCCAGGTAGTTCCTATAGTGATCCATGTGCGTACACACGTGTTTGTGCTTTTATACTTCAGATACAGCTCAAGATTAGGGATGCACTGATCCAGCTTTTTCAGTTCCAAAACCAATATCGATACTTTGGCTTTAGTATCTGCCGATACCCAGATCCCAGTGTTGGACAGAAAATGACACTTATTTCCATCACTACAGGAAAGTGAAGTGAGTAAAACATTCAAACATTATGAAACGTTCTAGGCTAAAATCAGCATGTAAATAGTTGTATTACATCCAATTATCCAGTATTATGGAAACAATACCTGATCCAACAAAAATTATTGGTGGCGATATTCAGTACCAGTATCAGTGCACCCAACACAAGATGATTCTAAAGATGTTCAGGAAAGGTTCATTACTGTCATGTGAATGTGAGGTTTTTTGTATTTATAGTTGCTTATATTAATATCTAGTTTTGATACTAGTGAATCAGACTAATGTCTAATTTTCTTTTGACAACCCTATTCACCATCAGTTTTGAGAAAAGCCTATCCACATTGCACAGTAGACAGAGAGACACAGATTACAACACAGTATGAGCAGATACTGCATAGGCCTCAGCTGTGACCGGGCTTTTATGTTATGGTTATGATAAGCGTGTACTGTCATTGATGGTTTTTGCACATTCCCCTCCTGATTTCTATTCATTGAAATGTAATCCCTCCACCCTGGTTCTGTCAGCACAAGGCTTTAAGCATAGACCTATATTTGTATTTTAGACCCGTGTTTGGCAGTCCTGATTGTTTGGCTGATATTTCCTTTTGTAATGTGTCCAGATCATTGACCAGGAGATCAACCCGTATGTGGACCAGTGGGAGGCAGAGGGCATTTTTCCAGCCCACAAAGTCTTTAAGATTCTGGGGAACACTGGGTTCCTGGGAGTGAACAAACCAGTGGGTAAGAGGAGACGTTTGATCACAGCTCCACTTTACGATTGGATTTTGGAATTTCAGAATATGGTAATTAATCTAAAGATCATGCACACTTTTATACTTGCAGCTGAGTTTAGTTTAATTTGGTACAAATACGAGATAGACATCCAAATCAAATGTAGCTTTTAGTGATAACGATTCTAATTCCATTCCAATAATAATTCCAGGAGCCACAGGGGGCACCACTGGTAAAAACTGTTGCTGTGTCCTTAGGAAAGGCACAAAACCCAGATTGCTTGTATGAAAGTGGTGTATGCGTGAGTAATGGTGGTGGTCGGAGGGGTCGATGGCACAGATTGTCAGCCTTGCTTCCGTCAGTCTGCCCCAGGGCAGCTGTGAGTACAATAGTAGCTTACCACCACCAAGTGTGAAGTAAATGAATAATGAACTGTACAGCACTTTAGGTATCTTGAAAGGCACTATATAAATGCAATGATTAATTAAATTAATTAATTAAAATTAATTACAGAAACATTGGGCATGATGTTTTATTTATTTTGTTGTAATATTGGTATTTTGTTTGCCAAGACAATTACTCACATGAGTCTGGAGGATGAGGAAAACTTTATTTTTACGGCACCTTTAAAAAACACAATACAGACCCAGCAGATAAATCCAAAGAAAAGATGCACACATAAAAAGGCCTGACAATATAAGTGGGTTTTAAGAAGTGATTTAGAAGATGGTACTGATGGCGCTAGCCTCATCTCCTCAGGCAGGTCATTCTAAAGCCGAGGCGCCCAGACCGAGAAAGCTCCATCAACTCTTCGCCTCGTCTTTGGAGCAGCCGCAGGGACCTGCCTGAAGATCTAAGGCTGAAGAACAGTCACAGAGACCTGGTCTAAGGTCTAAGGCTGAGGTTCAAGTTAAAAGTTGTGAAATGTCACTTAGTCCAAGGCTAAACAATCTTTAAAAGTGATCAGAAGAAAATCTTTAAAAAAATATTTTCTAAAATGCATAGGCAGCCAGTGATGGGAAGCTAAAACAGGAGTGTTGTGTTGTCCAGAGATTCCTGCTCAAATAAGATTACTAGTTTTATTGATTTATTTATTTTGGACAACCCTAGATTATTGTGCCTTTACAGTAACAATGCAGGCTACATATACTTCCTTTACAGTTTACATGGCTTTACTTTGCACACAATACTAGACTGTTATTTGTTTGCCTCATTTCATTTGGTGCCCCCTTGTGGCTGATGTAAGGCGTGCTTGTGTTAGAACACTGCAGTAACAGTTTTGAGTTCAAGCAGGGTTTGCTTGACCTTGTGCCTAATGAGTGGACTTCATGTGTATTTTATATACAGATGTAATCTTGCTGTTGTGTACTGAACCCCAGCACATCAGATTTAGTACATATAAACGCTGTTTTTTTTAAGCCAAAGATGTTCATTTTTTCTTCTCATGTATATTAACTTCTTGGGTTCTTTTTAAAGACAATACAGTACAAGTGTATTTACCTTGTTGAAATGTTTCGCTGCTAGCTGCAAACCATCAATAAAACCAACAGACCGTGGAAAAAACACAACAAACCAGTAGAGGGCAGCAGGACCATAAGAACACAGTCACACTACTGTACATTAGAGGCATAACTGAACCCACCCAGAGAGCCATAAAAAGACACAACATAAGCACTGGAGTCAAACCATTCACAAAACTCCATCAACAGCTCGTACACCCCAAAGATAAAATCCCACAAGAACAAAAATGCCATATACAAAATCCACTGCAAATCCTGCAATAAATCATACAAAGAGGAAACAGGCCGGGCATTCCACATTTGAAAAAAGAAACACCAAAAGGAACGCGAAAAGGGATACTCAGGGATACTCACCAGAACACAAAAAGACAAAGCAGAACAGGAAAACCTAAAATCCACAATATCAGAGCACCGTAAAAGAAATAAGCACATTCTGGATCGGGACGGGGCTCGCGTCATTGGATCAGAAAACAACAAGTTCAAACGCTGGATCAGGGAGGACACTGAAATCAGGAAATGAGGCACGGACAGCATTAACCGTGATGAAGGCGCGTTCCTCCTTTCACACACCTGGGACACCATCCTCCAGAGAACACCGGGCGACGGGAGGCGTGGTCAGTCTGAGCGACCTGCAGGTCCATCAGGCTGACCACGCCTACAGGAACTAACAACAGCAATACACTTTGTCTAGAATAGGGATGGGCATGATTAGTCGATTGATTAATTGATCATTAAGAATTTCATCGATTACGTTCATTTTTAATTGACAAATGGAATGTAGGTTGCTGTGCGTAGCGTAGGGTGACAAAACATCCAGTTTTCCCTGGACATGTCCATTCCACGTTGAAATTACCCAGTTGAGGTGGCTCGGGCATCTGTTCCGGATGCCTCCTGGGCACCTCCCTCGGGAGGTGTTCTGATTATGTCCCACCGGAAAGAGGCCCCGTGGAAGACCCAGGACTCACTGGAGGGACTGTCTCTCGGCTGACCTGGGAACACCTCGGGGTTTCCCCGGAGGAGCTGGAGGACGTGTCTAGGGTGAAGGAAGTCTGGGAGTCCCTGCTTAGACAGCTGCCCCCGTGACCCAGCCCCGGATAAGCGGAAGAAAATGGATGGATGTAAATTTTAAAATTTTATGCACACACACACACGCACACACACACACATATATATATATATATATATATATATATATATATATATATATATATATATATATATAATATATATATATATATATATATATATATATATACATATATATATATATAGATAGAGAGAGAGAGAGAGAGAGAGAGAGAGAGAGAGAGAGAGAGAGAGAGAGAGAATGTGAGTGTGTATAAAATTTACACACACACACACATATATATATAGAATGTGTGTATGTATAAAATTTACACACACACGCACACAAACGCAAATGCACATTTAACAATGACTTGTACAAGAAATTCCCCGCTTTCCATCCCGATTGAGACAAGTGGTATCCATGTGCACAGTGTACAAAGCAGCACATATGTTTCGGTGTCCATTGGGGGTGTCAGGGACCTCAAAGCTCACCGGGACACCAGAAAACATTAAAAAACTTTGCCAGGTGAGAGTATCTCAATGAGGTCCCACCTCCCACTCCCCGTACAGTGTCCTGGTTTTCACAAACGCAAATATGGTCACCCTAACCAATATTCCACTGAGTCATGTCCTTTAGTTTGACAGAAGTTGACCACATCAGCGCGTAAGAGCAGTTTTTTTCTTCGCTTAGGTTATGCAAATTAGCCATGTGGTTTTAAATTTTGTTTCTGTGAGACTTGCAGAAGGCTGCATTAAACACATAATGTCAAATGGGCTGATGTGGCTCTAGAGTGGTTATGGTTTATAAGTTGTAAAGTTGAATTTATTTATGCAGATTAGTCGTGCAGATAGTAATAATAATGATGATAATTATAATATAAAAACGTTAATGATTATTCGATAATCAATCATTAATTCTCCCGACGATCGATTAAGAAAATTTTATCGAATGTCCATCCCTAGTCTAGACTATTATCTTTAAAAAGAACCCAAGAAGTTAAAGTTGTTTCTTTTACCTAATATGAAGTGTGCTCTGCAAACATGAGCAGTTTTAGTTTAGTTTTATCTTTGCCCTCTATCCATTGTATTTGATTCAGTCAGAATTGTCTTTGTTTTTTCTGTGAAGGAACAAAAAAGTAAAACATTTAGTTTTTGTGCCAGAAGTGCAGTTCCTCTTGTTCTGACACCAAAAAACACAACAAAAGAACATTTGAAGTCTGCAAGCCCGCTAACGAGCCTTTCCCTTCTTTTGCCGACAGCGTGAGCTGCCACGTCACTGTGATGTGGGCCTTTAAAGGGTCTTTTTAAATGAGAAGTACAGTGTGTGGGAGAAGCATCTGGTCCAAACACAGCTGGAATAGATTTGAATGTCAAAATGAGTTCTGCATGAGTTCTATGTGCACATAACATGATATGTAATTACATTCAAAGGGCACATGCAGATTGTACATGTTGTGATTTAGATTTAAAATACTGCATACTGTAAAGTATACTGTATATTGCTGTCTGGTGTTGTAGTGGTTTAAGACGGTACTCATATGTGTTTGTTCCTGAAAATCATTGTAGGTGTGCTTTTAAAGGAACTTTAAAAGTCTTATATACTGCATGCTAGTGAGGTTTATGTTATAATGTTGTTACGTTACCAGAAACAGACCTGGAGTGGTGTTTTGTTTCATTCTCACATGTTTGAGTAACACTTTACTATTCAAGTTCAATAGAGATTGGCAATTCCAGGACTGAATTTATCAAAAAATATTCTAGTGAAGGTGTATGGAGTTTAAAAACATAGTGGAACACTTGATGTATTACCACATTTCATTACAAAGTGGAACAGAGTGTTTTCCTTTTAAGAGAAGAACTGAACCCCTTTAAGAATAAACCTCATGTAGAAGATATAATGTGCTTGTGTCCCCAATCCAATCCACTGTATTTCTACAGCACATTTCTTAAACAAAACTGTTCCCAAAGTGCTGCACAATACAAATCAAACATAGCCAACAGAAATAAAAACTAAAGCTCTACTTAACTCCATTGGTCCTTGTTAAGACAATAGAACTAGTAAGACCAAATAAGAGCAAGATTACCAACAAATAATAAAAAGGTAAAAAATAAATAAATGAATAAAAGACAGAGTCTTGCAGTGTTAAAAGCCAGAGAATAGAAGTGGGTCTTAAGACAAGACTTAAAACACTCCACTGTGGGGCTGTTCATACTTTGGGGGGCAAAGTGTTCCACAGCTTGAATCAGGGGGGACAGAGAAGACCCTGTGCCCCTGTTTTAAGTCTCGTCTTAGGCACCACGAGCTAGAGCTGGCCCTCGGACCTCAGAGGGATAGTTATAATCTCCGACATCTACGGATCATTGTGTTTGCACATTTTACATCACAAAATTCATCTAAAACGACTTGATAAAAGAAACCAG